ACATCTCATCCAGGCTGTAACATAACTTCTGGGCTGCTGCTTCTGTTCAGAGATCACCTCCGTGAGTCTGGCCTAGAAACAACATCTTGCACTTGGTCCCATCCCACCAGAGGTTGTGAAGCTGCCTTGATCAACGTTTTGAATTCTCTTCCCATATGCCCTTATCTTGTCATTCTCGTTCCTCCTGTGTGCAGCATCGAGAGCTAGGTTACGGTGACATGCGGCCATGGGATTAAAAATCCTGATGTCGAAGAAAGCTCGCTGTCCCCGCGTCCAGAACCCTCGAGCACTGACGTCAACACGGGCTTCGTTAGCCATGTTTGAAGTTCTATGTTGGAAGATCTGACCTTCCAAAGGAAGGAGGGTCGGTTCTACCATGACATCCCGGCAGATTTCCTTCAGCATATTTTTTGTGAGATCCCTTACTTCGTCATGCCTCATGCATATGAAGCCCCCTCTTCTTGCACACCATGGCGTGATCGACGTCATAGGAGGAGCCACACACGCATTGGGAGGGCAAACCTTCTACTGGCCGACCGTACCTTAGAGCGTTGGCATCTGTAAATTCTTGTTTAATGAGACTGAAACCATTTGCCCTTATCGGTAACGTAGTTAACCAGTTCGAGGCGCCCACCTCCTGCGCTATAGTTACTTTTTTTCAAATTCTCTGGTACCTGCAGCAATAGTTGCTGCAGCTTGTCACTTTGGCCGTGCTGTCGTTCTATCGTAATAGACCTTCGGATCTTGTTTACTTCACTGGTATCCACCTCCCCTGTTGCGTTCTCAGCTATTATGTGGTTTGTGAGGGCTACCGTGAGCTTTACTGAGTTTTGATGCTCAGCGGCAGCAATCTCCTCTGGATTGGTTAGTCCCATTCCTCCCAGTCTTGGTGGTAGTGCAAGGAGTGATCTTTCTGCTGGGGTTAGGTGAGGGTGTTTCACTAATTTGGGAATGAAATTGACGCTGATAGCTTCGTCAAGCGGGTGGAGGAGGGGTCCAATATCAGGGACAGTACGCATCAGGTAGTTCCAACGATGCTTGACTCCATGGGTGAATGCTGCAAAAGCAGCATGTAGCTCTGTGTTAGCAATCTGAGACAGCTTGGATTTCCCTAACCCACTCATTCACCTTTCCCACTACGTACTCCGTCTTGAGGTCTGTCTCGCCGATTACTGCGCCTAGGTGTCCTTGGCCATCCTGGTAATAGTGGCACTACAGTCACAGCTATTCCTTTGGAAAGTAGCACAAGACCACTACCATCACTTGTACAGTATATCTACTTTTGAAAAGCATTCACAATTTGAATAATTTTTCCCAAATAGGCAATATGTACAGGTATGTGTAATTTGTTCAAGTATTAGAAATTAGCATCAATCTAGAGTCACCTGCACTTATACTGTACCTGGTATAGTGGCTGATGTGTTTGGCAAGTTGTGGCATCTCTGTGGAAAGCGTTTCTTATCATCCTTAGTCTGGCTACTATTGTGAGGTTCCTTAGGGCCACTCCTGGAGTTTTAATACAATGTAAATACAGTAAAACCTCGATTAACCGACTTTCGGATTAACCGTCAATCCCGAACTAAAAAAATATAAAAAAAAAATTCTTTTTTTAAGCAGGGATTAGCCCACCCGGGCGCAGGTCACTGACCCACATCGGGGCCTGGGGGGCGATAATGTAATAATAATGATGATGATGATGATGATGATGATGATGATAATAATAATAATAATAATAATAAAAAAGAACCATAAATAAATGCAAAAATTAAAAGAAAAAATCAAGAGAGAGAGAATATGTGTATGTTGTGTTGTCAATAGTAAGAGAAGCTATTGAGACCCTGCAATTGTGTGTAAATGAGGTAGAAAGTCAGATGAGCAACCTGGGACTTGGTCAAAATTTTTGTGATGACATGTTCTTTGACTTTTCCATTTTTCATTCATGGTTTCTGTGCTGGTTCATATTTATTTACTAAAGTGGTTAATGTTTTAAAGCAAATTCTATTGAAATATGAATGACAAATGAACAAAAATGAATAGAGAGAATTAAATGAGGTAGGTTAGGGAAAGGTACTTTGAAAATGTATGTTTTGTTTCCGTAGACTTTATGTACTATTATCCGTCGGCCCCTTCCCCCCATGTGTGGTCGGTTAATCGAGGTTTTACTGGGGGGTAAACACAAAGTTACCACATCTCTCAATATGTTTCAGCTGCTTACAGTTAATGAGAACTTTAGTGAAGAAAAAGCTCCATTATTCACCACACACTGCATGCAGTCATGAAAAAATTCTGATCTATGCTAAGATACTCCTTCGAATTCCATACCCTTTTATTTGTATATTCAGCCATTCATGAGGTGTGCTGTTGAAAGCCTTAGCAAACTGGAGATATATGTAACCATTATTGCCCCAGGGTCTGTGTTCAAACATCCAGCACTTTAAATAATTTCATCAAGCAAAGCATAGGTTTATGTTGATATTTATTTACAAGGGTGTTCCTTGTTCTTCCATCATGGTAGCTTGTATGATGCTCTCTAGTGCAGTACTGCAGTTTACACACTGTGCTGGTCAAGCTCACTGGCCTGTAATTGTTTGTGCAGTGGTGATCACCCTGTTTGAATATAGCACTCACATATGCCATTTTCCAGTCACTGGGGACCTTTTGTTTGTCCATGCATCTGCAGACCCAGAATTTAAGGAGCTCTGCAAGCTCATTTCACAACACTCTCAACTGGGATGCACTCTATAATGACCAGGGTTCTTACATACCCTAACCTTTGACAATGTCTGTTAGTGCTTTGTCAAGCCATTTTTCCTCAGATGCAAGGAGATGCACACATCCTCTCTTGTAAATACTGGGGAAAATAATATACAGTGGTCCCTCGGTTAACGAGCACAATCCGTTCTAGAAGGTTGCTCGTTAACCGAAAAACTCATTAACCGAAACCATTGTTTCAATGGGTTTTTGGGTAATTGGTTCCAGCTCACCGAAAATTGCCTAAATTCAACAAAAAAGGTAGAAAAGTACACTTACTTTGAGGTGTGTATGTAGAAGGCTCCTGGATGATGATGATGAGAATTAGAATGGGGGTGGAGAAGGGAGAAGAGAAGGCATTGGGGCGGAAGAGAAGTCGCCCCATGGTGCCATTTCACCCATGAAATTTTAGTTCTCTTGTTGTATTTCAAGATTATTTTCTTTAAATCAACACTGCACTGCATTATATATTGTCAATATGTAAAATAAATTTTAAAATGACCAATAATTTGCTTGCAAAAACAGAAAAAAGGTATTTAGTTGAAGAGAGTCTCAAGCAAGATGTTACCTCCACTGAAAAGATACAAAGACTGACGCCTGTATGGTGTGTTGAGAGGCTGGATGGCGCGCATAAAACTAGTTTCATTACCTTCAATTATGTTCAATATTTGTTAAAATTAGTAAAAAATTTAATATTAAGCTTATAAAATTATTGAATAGTATAAACTTCTTGATATTTGCAAAAATGGTAAGGAATTTAAGCCCTAGAACCGATTACTGTATTGGCGGACTAATACTACAGCTGGTAGACTGCCAAATGCAAGCGAAATCATGTTCAGGTTGGCTCGTAAGAAACTCGTTAATCAAGGGATTGCTCGTTAACCGAAGTTAAGAATCCTATGGAAGGCAACTCGTTAACCGAAATCTCGTTAACTGAGGGACCACTGTATTTAACGCTTTCACCTTGTCCTGATGTGAGTGCATAATTACCTCTACTAATAGTCAAGCTAGTAAACTCTCCTTTCACCTTGTCCTGATGTGAGTCTGCATAATTACCTCTACTAATAGTCAAGCTAGTAAACTCTCCTTTCACCTTGTCCTGATGTGAGTCTGCATAATTACCTCCACTAATAGTCAAGCTAGTAAACTCTCCTTTCACCTTGTCCTGATGTGAGTGCATAATTACCTCCACTAATAGTCAAGCTAGTAACTCTCTTTTCACCTTGTCCTGATGTAGTGCATAATTACCTCTACTAATAGTCAAGCTAGTAAACTCTCCTTTCACCTTGTCCTGATGTGAATCTGCATAATTACCTCTACTAATAGTCAAGCTAGTAAACTCTCCTTTCACCTTGTCCTGATGTGAATCTGCATAATTACCTCTACTAATAGTCAAGCTAGTAAACTCTCCTTTCACCTTGTCCTGATGTGAATCTGCATAATTACCTCTACTAATAGTCAAGCTAGTAAACTCTCCTTTCACCTTGTCCTGATGTGAATCTGCATAATTACCTCTACTAATAGTCAAGCTAGTAAACTCTCCTTTCACCTTGTCCTGATGTGAATCTGCATAATTACCTCTACTAATAGTCAAGCTAGTAAACTCTCCTTTCACCTTGTCCTGATGTGAGTGCATAATTACCTCCACTAATAGTCAAGCTAGTATACTCTCTTTTATGTTACAAAGAAAAAACTAAAATGGATGCAAATGTTTCTCAACAAAAGAAAGTGTTCAAATTAGCAGTGTAAATAATGACCCCTTAAGATATCTCTAACTTGTCTGTGACCACCAGCTAGTGACCCAATGTCCCCAGCTTCAGGTTATTTAGTCTCCTGGCAAACATGGCTGAGTGTCATGTTCCTTAACTTCCTCAGATAAATACAAGTCATAATCAACAAAAATTGGTTAAAACAAAATATTAAGTCATGTCAATCGTATTTTTTTTTAATAAAGTCACCCAGTTTATAATTTACGTAAAACAGGCTTCATGCATCTGTTAGTTAGCTTTAAATTTCTCAACTTGCTACAAGATTGTGTTGTTGCAAGGAGTGGATTATACTCATGATTGTGATCAAGATAGCACAGCTTTCATATTACGTTCAGTTAGTATCAACAGTCAAACAGAAAATAGGTTTTCTCATGTTAATTATTGGAGTTTATTTTGTTACCATTTAATACTTTATACCAGTGGTAGTTTGGGGACCCAGAGCTCGCTAGTACTCTTGGTGTGTGGGGGTAAATCATCACATGCAGTTCGGTATCTTTATTTATTTTATTATATTATCATCTTTTTTTTTGTTAGGGGAGAGAGGTAGGATTTGATTTTACAATATTAAGTTACAGAGTTTCTCATGATAAAAATATTTGGCAATAATTGAACACATTTGTACACATTCTTGTGCATTTGTATTTACCAGTGAAGATGATGCATGATATGTTTTGCCTCTTGCTAGTGGCTGGTGTTTACACTGGCTGGGGAAGTGTGGGTATTTAAGCAATACCAAATTCATATGAATTCACACCTGAAGTAGGTAGCTTGTCTTGCTGTTGAGGGGGGAGGTGGATGAAGGGAAGGCGAGAGGCAGGAAGCAGTTCCTCTCATCCTTCCTCTTCTTCCTGCTGCCTCACACCTGGCCTCATGCTTGAACCTCACCTACTTGCCTAGACCAGAATGGGCGTAGGGCTGGTCGTAGTTGGAATAGCCGAAGACGCGCCCACGTGTGTTGGCACTGGGCGGAGGATGTCCCTTACCCTTGTCATTGGTTTGCATGTGCGCTGTAGACACAAACATCCGTCATCACACAAAGTCTACCAGTGAGTGGTCGAGCTACTGTACTTGAGGCTAGGGAAGGTCTAGGAGCCAGACTGATTGGCTGGAGTGCATGATATACAGTATTCTAAAAAGTCTACTTCACAAACCAACTGAACTAAATCATCCTAACCTAACCAAACCACCCGAAGATTGTTAGGTCAGGGTTTGGTGGATTGTGTTGCCTGATATAATTTTGAGAGTTCCTGTAAAAATCCCTGATCTAAAGTTTGAGAAATAAGGTCATTTTCTCCAACCAGTACCAGCTTGGCTGCTGGGCGCTCTTTAGCCACTCACAACTTCTGAAGAAAATTATTTAGCTTAGTACAAGAGTGAGCTGGACACAAGCTGAGTATATTAGTTAGGTGTGAGGGATTGAAATAAGGTTAAGGGGCCATATTAGGTGTAGAGAGAGGACATGATTATGTTGTGTGTAAGTGTGTGTGTTGTGTATACGTGTGTGTGTGTGTGTGTACAGAAATGTTCTTATTATGGCAATAGACCTAAGCACTAATATCATGCCTCATCTGAGCTAATTAACATAAAACAATACACACACTCAAAAGAAAATTGTACCTATAGATAATATCACTCAAAAGCACACCTTAATTTTAGTCTGTTTAAATTGTCATGATGCTGAGTTTAAGATCCATAGACACAATAGACATCTTCTTTAACTACACAAACAGTACAGAAACATCCTACTCTGTACCCTGACACTGTTTCCTTGATATATCTCATAAAAAAAAACCCCACACAATTATGAGTAGTACGGTACTAACAACAGATGATACCTAAGACACCTGTACTGAACAACTACAACTGATTATTTAGTTTTATTTATGAACACTTGTCTGAGTCCCATGGGTTAGTGAGTGATCTGGGGTCACCTGAATGGATAAGATAGTGGGGGTCACCTGAAGATCAAGTAAACAAATGAAATTGGATAGATAAGTGTGATAGAGCCAGAGAATACATGGAGTCACATGATGTAAAACTGATAAAGCGAGTGGATAAGAGCCAGAGAATACATGGAGTCACATGACGTAAAACTGATAAAGCGAGTGGATAAGAGCCAGAGAATACATGGAGTCACATGACGTAAAACTGATAAAGCGAGTGGATAAGAGCCAGAGAATACATGGAGTCACATGATGTAAAACTGATAAAGCGAGTGGATAAGAGCGAGAGAATACATGGAGTCACATGACGTAAAACTGATAAAGCGAGTGGATAAGAGCCAGAGAATACATGGAGTCACATGATGTAAAACTGATAAAGCGAGTGGATAAGAGCGAGAGAATACATGGAGTCACATGACGTAAAACTGATAAAGCGAGTGGATAAGAGCCAGAGAATACATGGAGTCACATGATGTAAAACTGATAAAGCGAGTGGATAAGAGCGAGAGAATACATGGAGTCACATGACGTAAAACTGATAAAGCGAGTGGATAAGAGCCAGAGAATACATGGAGTCACATGATGTAAAACTGATAAAGCGAGTGGATAAGAGCGAGAGAATACATGGAGTCACATGACGTAAAACTGATAAAGCGAGTGGAAGCGAGAATACATGGAGTCACATGATGTAAAAGAGCGAGTGGATAAGAGCGAGAGAATAGAGTCACATGACGTAAAACTGATAAAGCGAGTGGATAAGAGCCAGAATACATGGAGTCACATGTAAAACTGATAAAGCGAGTGGATAAGAGCGAGAGAATACATGGAGTCACATGACGTAAAACTGATAAAGCGAGTGGATAAGAGCCAGAGAATACATGGAGTCACATGATGTAAAACTGATAAAGCGAGTGGATAAGAGCGAGAGAATACATGGAGTCACATGACGTAAAACTGATAAAGCGAGTGGATAAGAGCCAGAGAATACATGGAGTCACATGACGTAAAACTGATAAAGCGAGTGGATAAGAGCGAGAGAATACATGGAGTCACTTGAGGTACCCGTGGATGAGGGACTGACCTTCGTACTTAGCCAGAAGATTGAGGAATTGCTGACGATCGAGGAGCCCGATGTTTTCCTGGCTGCGGGCGACCTCTTCCACACTGTCCAGGTTGGTCCTTAACTCATTGAAGAAGTTTCGCATGTCAGAGAGCACCCCTGCCGGCCCAGCTGTCACCATTATTAATATACCTCACGTGTTATTATTAGTAAAGTCACGTGTTTTTTAGTACACTATTATAAGTTTTGTGTTATAATGGTAATGTTAAGAGGATGATGCAGCCACGGTGTTGTGTGTGTGTGTGTAGGGTCATGTTCAGGGGGTGATGAGGCCATGGTGTTGTGTGTGTGGTGTGTGTTCAGGGGGTGATGAGGCCATGGTGTTGTGTGTGGTGTGTGTTCAGGGGGTGATGAGGCCATGGTGTTGTGTGTGGTGTGTGTTCAGGGGGTGATGAGGCCATGGTGTTTATTTTTTGTGTTTATATGACTATTTGTGTGTATGTTTGTATGTGCTTGTGTATGCATGTGTGTGTGTGTACAGTATGTAATGTTTGTGTGTGGTGTGTGTGTGTACAGTATGTAATGTGTGTGTGTGTGTGTGTGTGTGTGTACAGTATGTAATGTGTGTGTGTGTAGGGTCATGTTCAGGGGGTGATGAGGCCATGGTGTTTATTTTTTGTGTTTATATGACTGTATTTGTGTGTATGTTTGTATGTGTTTATGTGTGTACAGTATGTAATGTTTGTGTGTGTGTGTGTGTTTGTGTATGTATTTGTTTGTGTATGGATGTGTGTGCGCGTGTATTTCTGTGTGTGTGAGCGTGCATGTGTGTGTGTATATGTATGTGTGTGCGCGCATGTGTGTGTGCGTGCGTGCGTATGTATGTGCGTGCGTATGTGCGTGTGTGTGTGTGTGTTAATAATGTGTCTGTGAAGCTATAATAGTGTTCTGACAACAATGAACATTCAAAATTAAATATTAACAATAATTCCGATATATCACGTCGATACACACACTTATACACGCACACATGCATACACATATACACACAAGTAGTCAAATAAACACACATACACACGCGCACACACACACACACACACACACACACGACTCCACAATGTCACCACACTTCCTTCATGTAAAAAAAATATAAATTTTTTCCCAAAACCCCCCAAAAAAAACAATCACTTAAGAAACCTCAAATGAGAAAATATCACAAAGGGTTTGTTTCTTCAGTAAACTATCGAGGCCTTTGTGGAGGTTATAAACGTAGGAAAACTTCACGTATGCAAATAATAGATTAAAGTTTTGTTATTGGAAGCAAAGTGTTCGAGGGAGGATGGGGTCTTGTGTGTTTCTCTTATTTAATCGTCAAAGGTTTTTTTAATAATGAATGAAAGAGAAAAATAATGGGAACGAAATTTGGTTTATATTTGTAGTGTTTAATTCTGTCGTCTCTGGGGTGAGGGGCCGTCACATTCACCCTAACTCATCATATGTTTAATACTTTAATGTGCAGGAACAGGTCTTCCTCCCCCCACCTTTCGTCCCCTCCTCCTCCGCCTTTCCTCCCCTCCTCCGCCTTTCCTCCACTGCCTTTCCTCCCCTCCTCCTCCCCCAGACTTGACACTCGCCATCTGGAGGCTACGTGAAGAACTCGATTTTCCCGAGAAAGTTAACAGAAAAATAGAGAGAGAGATAGAGAGACACTATCACACACTGACCTAAGCTAACATACTGGACGTAAGGGGGCGACCTCTTACCGAGGCCCATCGTAGGAATCTTGGCAGGTTGGTCGCGCTTGGCCAGGGAGGGGTTGTGGTGGGTCCTGGAGAGAGGCATGGGGGGCGTGTAAGGTCTCTCACTCAGAGTATCATCACCATCGATAAAGGCGGAGGACTCAGGGCGGTCTCCCAGCAGCGCCCTGAGCCATTGTAGGGTCTGAAGACTGTCGTTGTTAAAGGAGGCCCTGGGAGATGGCTGCATCGTGAGCGGCCATCCACGTCTGCCAGGTTCGTTGGTGTCTGCCGGGGTGAAAAACTACTTTATACTTAACATTTTCTTGTGTGTGTGTGTAAGTTCAGTTTTCATGTTTGTTTCAGTACATCCGGATATAGTGACAAACAATTGCCCCCCCCCACACACACGTCATACCCAGATGAAATGGCTGGTGGTGGATGACTCGCACACCTGTCATCCTTCACCCTTGATGACCTCACACCTTGGTGCTGAGGTCACAGTATTTGGCTGTGTCATCAACCCAACACCTGCTATTACTGACCGACGTTTATGTTCGAGGAAATATTTCTTTTTGTTGAGTGAAGCTTAACTCAGTGGATGGCCAAATTTCATTCAATCACGTCTCATTGTGTACTCTGGCAGAGGTACGACCAGCCCCCCATTAAAGCAGCTACGAGTAATTATGGCGCAGACCTGTGGGTTATTGGTACTCTGGTGAAGACTGTGACGCCATAATGACTACATAAGAATGGAGGAAACTGCAGCGGGCCTATTGGTTACACCCAACCCCTATCGCTCATATAGCCATGCAACCTATGTTAATGATGATGTTTGGTAACCTGTTCCACTCGTCCACTACTCTATTTTCAAACCAATGTTTACCTATCTCGCGCCTAAATCTAAATTTGTCTAATTTAAAACTATTGCTACGAGTTCGCTCCTGGTTGGATAGTTTGAGTACCTTTGTTCTATCACCTGTGTTTAGTCCTGACTTCCATTTATACACCTCGATTATATCGCCCCTCGCTCTACGTCTTTCGAGGGAGTGCAAATTAAGATGCTTTAACCTGTCTCTGTACTCAAGGTTCCTAATGCCCGGGATTAGTCTTGTCATTCTCCTCTCAATTCTTTCAAGGGATTTTATATCCATTCTGTAGTACGGTGACCAGAACTGAACTGCGTAACCCAAGTGAGGTCTCACAAGCGCAAGATATAGTTTTAGGATGACCTCGCTAGTCTTATAACTAACACTCCTTTGTATGAACCCATGTACTTTGTTAACCTTGTTTCGAGCAAATACACATTGTTTACTACCAGCGTCTTGGCCTCTGATGGTGTCTTTTACTGTATAATTATGTCGTCTGCTTTATATTTATATTGAATATAAAGGAGGGTGGGGTGTGGGAGAGAGGGAGGGAGGAGGGTGGGGTGAGGTAGGTGGTGTGTGGGTTGGGGTGAGGGGGGAGGAGGCAAGAGGTCGTGCAGATAATCCTGTTTCTTCAGTATATCATAGTAGGTCTTATGGATTACCCCGACCAGGATTATTACCTTACCATCGTATGAACTATAATGGAGAATGCCACGGGCACACGCAGAAGAGGTTTAGCATATAAACTACTGCTTGATGGCACACAGTCTAGAATATAACACATACACATTTATTTTAGCCACCTATGATTTTAGCCACGGGTTCACTTATATATATTTTAGGCACGGGGTCACACACACACACACACACATATATATATATATATATATATATATATATATATATATATATATATATATATATATATATATATATATATATATATATAAATTAGGCACGGGGTCACTTATTTACTTTAGGCACGTTATCTACAGTATATCCATATATACAGTATATCCTCCACACTTATATACTATTACCTCACACTAAGTGTATCTATACATACATAATCCTACACACTTTTTCAACATTGTATCAGCCTTTTGTTTTAAATTTTATATATTCTTTATGCTTTTTGGTGAGCATGTGTGCAACGATGTGGTGAAGCCTTGGCCGCAGGAGCTGTGTGCCTCTGCCACGATTCTTCCTCCTACTGGGAACCCTTACTGGACGACACCAATCGGAGGATAAAAGGAGGTAAGGAATGTTGACCTTAACTAACTTAACCTGATTTAACCCATCTAAGCTGTAACGTAACTTGATTTAACCAAACTAAACTCAACTCTAACTTAACTGAACCTAACCAAATTCTGCCCTAACTTAACTAAACCTAACCTTACCAAACTCTACCCTAACATAACTGAACCTAACCTAACTAAACCATGTTTTAATCTAATTTAACAACGAAGATTAATTGAATTTAACTTATCCCTATGTAAGGGTGGAAACGATCTCCCTGCTGGTTACCGCTGCTAACTCGCTTGTTTGCTGGTGTGGACGACACTTGGGCGGTTGGACAGAGGTGAGAACGGTAGCGACTATCTGGGTCACCGGCAGATTCAACCCAGCCGCCATACAGTCAGTATCTAGCTACCCTGCTGTCCGTCAAATTCTGGCTGTGATCTCATCATAGGTCCTGGACTCGTGGGCTGTGTTCCCAGACCTTCACCTATCGACTGCCAACTCTCTGGTCATCTACCACTACCATACCACGACCGTCAGTTCATCACATTCCGTCGGTGCCCCGGTGTTCTCCTGCCATTTCAAGACGTTGCTGAATGTGGAGTTGAATGGACGCTTCCCTGCCCTGAGTGTGCATCACCGTGTTCCAGAACCTTCCCCCAGGGCCACTGCCGTAGGAAATATTTGTTCATTGTTTGATTCTATGATTGTTTGATTCCATTAATTGCTGACTCCCCTTTATTGTTCGATTCTATCAATTGTTGACTCCATTTAATTGTTTGAATCCATTAATTGCTGACTCCCATTATTTGTTTGATTCCTTTAATTGTTTGCTTCCTTTAATTGTTTGACTCCATTAACTGTTGACTGCCTTATTTGTTTGACTCCTGTAATTATTTGATGTTTGTTGAGTGGTGTCAGAGTTTTGTGTTATATTTTTATAGTAAAGAGATGCCAATCTCAAACGGTTGTTTGTTATTCCTCAGAAAACCTTGGTCCTTGACTTTCCTTTATTAAGATCCTGATTAGCCTGGTAAGAGATTTCTATCCCTAAGTCCCAGGCCTTTACACCCTATCCAAATCTAACCTAACCTAACCCAAGCTGCGGTTTCTAGCTGGTCTGATCTCGGGTCTCGGTATATTAAGCTTTTCCCTCTCACATTCTTAAAACTTTTCCTCAGCTATAAAACTTTGCTAAGCTTTTTTGTTGTATACCGGCTAACTTTCTTCCCAAAACTTTCGCACCAACTTTCTAACAATGAAAAAAAAACTAGGATTTTAGAAAGTATAAAGTCTTTAGTTCGTTTCGAGTTTGAAGGAAAGTTTATGATTCTTTTCATCATTCTTGCCTGCAGTTCAAAGTTTATTTACACATACATGAGTTAAGTTACTCGGCAAAAGGTATCGTTGGGCCGATGAATTTGGAACTAAATAATCCTGTTGTCTCGCTCGGGTTGGTAGGCGTGGTTGTGGGATATTTCTTACCTATTATGGTAGGCCTAATTTAGTTAACTCAAAATGAAAAATTAGTTGGTTGCATAATGATTGGTATATAACAGTGCGCCTCATGAGCCTTTATCAAAAACCCTCATTCGTGGTGTTTTGTTGTTTTCGTACAACTGTAAATAGAGATTTTTTTTTACCGAGTGTACATGAGCAAAATCACACGTCGATGAATTAAATTACGTACATGATTTATGCTACGTACATGAGTTGTCACACGTACATAATTTAAGTTACATACATGATTTAAGCTGCGTACATGAGTTAAGTTACATACATGAGTTAAGTTACATACATGAGTTAAGTTACATACATGAGTTAAGTTTCATACACGCTTTAGGTTACGTACATGAGTTGTAACACGTACATGAATTATATTACGTACATGATTATTAAAGTTACATACATGATTTAAGTTACGTACATGAGTTAAGTCACGTACATAAACATATTCACACCTACACAAGCTTGTTTAAATGATCATAAGCTTGTTCATACATACACACACACACACCGTCTGGTCACACATACATCAGCTTATCCACATACTGTACACACACGTTTATACCTAGAATATCCACACATACATAAGATTTATCAAACTTACACAAGGTTATCCACATGTACACGAACATATCCACATAAACACAAGCTTTCCTACATGCATACACGCTTATCCACATGTACACAAGCTTATCCACATGTCAACAAGCTTATCCACATGTACACAAGCTTATCCACATGTACACAAACATATCCACATAAACACAAACATTCCCACATGCACACACGCTTATCCACATGTACACAAGCTTATCCACATGTATGCAAGCCTATCCACATGTATTCAAGCCTATCCACATGTATTCAAGCTTATCCACATGTATGCAAGCCTATCCACATGTATTCAAGCCTATCCACATGTATTCAAGCTTATCCACATGTCCACAAGCTTATCCATATGCACAGCTTAATGTATCATGGTATCTAGTGTGAAAAAGAATGTGTTCAGGGAGAAGAACACATCACAGAAGAACACATCACAGAAGAACACCTTACAGAACACATCTCATAAAAAGAACACTTCACTGGAGAACACCTTTCAAGAGGACAGAACATAAGGAGAACATCACACAGTAGAACACCATCGGGAGGAACATGTTAGTGTGTGTGTGTGTGATGGACCTACCTGCGAGGAGAGGTAGACCCAGGGCAGCATGTCCCAGGAGCGGTAGAAGTACGAGCAGGTTGACCAACGCCACCATACCTTGCTGAGCCTTGAACCTTGACGTGCTCGGCACCTGCTGAGTTCCTTCCTCTTCCACTCTTCTGAGACGTTTGGAACTTTTTAACTGTTTTTGTTATGAGTTATGGGAGGTTTATGGACTTCTGTTGCGTGTGTGTGTGTGTGCGAGAATAAGTAACGGTAAATTAACCCGCCAAGCTCCTCTTCTTGTTGTGGTAGCTGGCGCACGTCTGAGGTCCCGAGCCAAGAGAGCGTCGTATTTATAGTGCCTCAGCCTCTTGGCACCTAGCTTGGGATTGGACCACTTTTACCTGGGAACATTTTCTCATTGGTTAATCCAACTTCAGGTTGTTTACACTTGATAACAAGAGTCAAGAATGGTTATACTCTTCTTTAATATAAGATTTAGCTTAATGCATTACGTATAACTAATTTACACGAGTAAACGACATGCATTGTGAATATTTTTCCATTTTTTATATTCTGGCGCTCGCTGTCGTCAAGGATGGTGACGTCACCAGCAAGGATAAACATGATTGTTTAAGAAAAGAGTGGGCGTGTGTGTAGGTATGTATGTGTACGGGGAAGGTTGGAGTTAATCCCAGTGTTTGTTGAGGCGGGAGGGGGTAGATAGCACAAGAAATATGAAAGGATTAAATTGACAATCAAAGAAACCAAATGGGTGTAATGTAGTGTGTTCCTGGAGACAGCGAGGTGAAGTTACACACACATACATACACACATGGTTCGCAAAAATAGAACCGCTATGTTAAAACTTCAAAAGTGTTGCAGTATTTACTCACCCTTAGTAAAAAGATTAATGTACACAAAAATAATTAAATATCAATAACTTAAATATATTTCGAAATTACCAACAGATTAATTTTTTATCACTGACGCAGAAACGAGCAGGAGATGACGTCACTCACCTGGCGTGTATAGATACTGGGTTCACCTGCAGCGCTCACCTCCACCTGTCTCATTAGTGTATCAGGTATAACGAGTTGCTAATATACAACAAAACACTCAGTTGTCATTTACTAGCAACAATTAAATCATTCAGTAATTTATTTGTTTATTAATTTACTTTGTGCTTCTAATGTGTCAACACAATGCTTTCCATCACACAGGGTTGCTGCTGCTGCTGCTGCTGCCCGTGGGTACATTAGTTCTGACAGCCTCCTTACACTTTACTATTTTTCAGTTCACCATCTATCAAGTTCAGTATCCAGTCCGCAGCATGGTCGACTGAGGGAGCCTCACCTAACAGCCAGCCAGAGGGTTCAAACCAACCACTGTTTAATAGAGAGAGGTGAGTACTATAGACCCACTCAGCCACCGCACTCTTGTTTTGTACACAGTAACTAACATGTTTTAAGTACAGCAGGTGTTGGTGGAGGGGGCTGTACAGTTAACAGGTGTTCTCTCCATGTGTGTCTCAGAGAACCCAGGTGATGGCCACTAATGAGATAGGTCTTACACACCATCACTACTCACTCCAGGTAAATTATCAATGAAATAATTAACTCGCGAGCAGTGTTCACCTCATGTAAAACTCAAGGAAAATTGATCCTCAAATTAAAAAGATTAAATAATTTTTATCATTAAACATATCCGAGTAAGGACCATCTACGGTTCATGGAAATCCGTCCGTTTCTTCTCGATTATTATTGCTTCCATACGGCGAACGAGCCACGGATGTCATGGACAAGGTGGACGTAGCGAGGTTCGAGATTTCGTAACATTTCCTGTACGTGTGTGTGTGTGTGTGTGGAGGAGTAGTATTAATGTGTGAGTGTGAAGAATAAGAGAGAGTGAACTCCCTCGGTGATGCTTCTGTAGGCGGCCACCAAGGAGAAGGTAATTAATCAGTTGTTGGTGGGTCACTGACTCCCGCCTTCACACCTGACAATCAATCAGACTTTTGTGCTCGTTTGATCGATGATCCGGAGAGGCTACAGTGACCTTGTCTGTTTGGCTGTTTGTCTGGTAGTCTTGTTTGGGTAGTGAGTTTGTTTGCTTGGTGACCTGGTCTGGGTAGCGAGTAGGTCGGTCCGTCCAGCAGTGTCCTACCTACTGCCGTGTTGCTGACGACCATGTGGTGATCGCTGAGGGATTTACACACACACACACACACACACATAGACATACACACACATAGACACACACACACACACACACACACACGAGGGAGACAGATGGGCGTATCCAACATTAAACATTTTATTCAGATGATTATTTTTTCTGCTTCTGGTAATATTAAAATAATCTTATTTCAACTATTGACCAATTACTGCCGGCTGAGGTGGTGAGGCAGGTGTTGGTGAGGCAGGTGTTGGTGAGGCAGGTGTTGGTGAGGCAGGTGTTGGTGAGGCAGGTGTTGGTGAAAGGGCAGGTGTTGGCAGAGGCAGGTGTTGTGGGGCAGGTGTTTGCTGGGGCGTGGTGTTGGTGAGGCAGGTGTTGGTGGGCAGGTGATGGGGCAGGTGTTGATGGGGGCAGGTGTTGATGGGGCAGGTGTTGATGGGAGCCTTGGGTGATGGTGGGGCCCAGGTGTTGCTGAGGCACGTGTTGGTGAGGGCAGGTGTTGGTGAGGCAGGTGTTGGTGAGGCACGCGTTGGTGAGGCACGTGTTGGTGAGGCACGTGTTGGAATGAAGACAGCAGGTGTTGGTGAGGCAGGTGTTGGAGAGGCACGCGTTGGTGGGGCAGGTGTTGGTGGGGCACGTGTTGGTGGGGCACGTGTTGGTGTGAGGGCTACGTGTTGGTGAGGCACGTGTTGGTGGAACACGTGTTGGTGGGGCGGGTGTGCCGTTAGGGGAATAAGGTGTTGGTGGGGCAGGTGTTGGTGCGGGGCAGGTGTTGGTGGGGCAGGTGTTGGTGACGCACGTGTTGGTGACGCACATGTTAGTGAAGTTGGGTGTTAATTGAGGCACGTGTTGGTGGGAGCAGGTGGTGGTGAAGCAGGTGTTGGTGTAAGGCAGGTGTTGGTGGGGAGCAGGTGTTGAATGAGGCGGGTGTTGGTGGGGCAGGTGTTGGTGAGGCCAGGTGTTGGTGAGGCAGGTGTTGGTGGGAGCCAGGTGTTGGTGGCACGTGTTAGTGAGGCAGGTGTTGGTGAGGCACGTGTTGGTGAGGCAGGGGTGGTGGTGAAAGCAGGTGTTGGTGAGGCAGGTGTTGGTGAGGCAAGTGTTGGTGAGGCAGGTGTTGAGTGAGGCAGGTGTTGGTGAGCGCACGTGTTGGTGAGGCACGTGTTAGTGAAGTAGGTGTTGGTGAGGCACGTGTTGGTGAGGCACGTGTTGGTGAGGCAGGTGTTGGTGACGCAGGTACATTACAATAATAACACGGCCACTGACCAATGCATTACAGTAATCATGCCGAGTACGGGAGCTGTTCTGGCGGCAATGGAGTCAAGTCACACAAAAGAGTTTAAGTCACGTCACACTACAGGGGTTGAGAGTGACACTAAAGGGGTCGAGAGTCACATTATACAGGGGTCGAGAGTCACACTACAGGGGTCGAGAGTCACACTACAGGGGTCGAGAATCACATTATACACAGGGGTCGAGAGTCACCCTACAGGTGTCGAGTCACACTAAAGGGGTTTAGAGTCACACTAAAAGGGTTTTAGAGTCACACTACAGGAGTAGAGTCACACTACAGGGGTCAGGAGTGACACTACAGGGGTTGAGAGTGAAACTACAGGGGTTGAGGTGATTTACTAAAGGGTCGAGAGTCCACTAGAGTCAAGAGTCACACTACACAAGGTCGAGGGTCAGGCCATTATACAGGGGTCAGAGTCACACTACGGTGTCGAGTGTCACACACTTAGAGGCCGAGCGTCAAAAGGGTTAGAGTCACACTACAAGGTAGAAATCACACTACAGGGGTCGAGAGTGCCTACAGTGGTCGAGGTCACACTACAAGGGCAGAGCGTCACACTATAGGGTCCGAGAGTCACACTACAGGGGTCGAGGCCACTACAGAAGGTCGAGGTCACACTACAGGGGTCAACAGTCACACTACAGGGGTCAGAAAGTCACACTACAGGGTCGGAGTCACACTATAGGGGTTGAGTCATACTATACAGTGGTCGAGAGTCACTATAGGGGCGAGAGCACACTACAGGGGTCGAGGTCACATTAAGGGTTAACAGTCCACTACAGTGGTCGAGAGTCACACTATAGGGTTGAGCATACTATACAGTGGTCGAGTCACACTAGGAGAAGTCACACTACAGGGGTCGAGGTCACATTACAGGGGTCAACAGTCACACTACAGTGGTCAGGGAGTCACACTATAGGGGTTGGAGTCATACTATACAGTGGTCTAGAAGTCACTACAGGAGTCAGGAATCAGGGGTCCTGGAGCTCTCACACTACAGGGTTCGAGGAGTCACACTACAGGGTCGAGAGTCAAGCTACAGGGGTCAAGAATCACACTACAGGGGTCAGAGTCCTAATACAGGGTCGAGAGTCACACTACAGGGATAGGAGTCACACTACAGGGGTCGAGAGCCACACTAAAGGGTCAAGAATCACACTCGACAGGGGTCGAGAGGGGGTCTAGAGTCCCACACTACAGAGGTCAGAGAGTCACACTACAGGGTCGAGAGCCACACTACAGGGATCAGGAGAGTCACACACTACAGGGGTCGAGAGAGGGGTCAGATTCACACACTACAGGGGTCGAGTCACACTACAGGGTCGAGATTCACACTACAGGGGTCGAGGTCAGTCAGAGTCACTACAGGGGCCGAGCACACTCTAGCGGCAGAGTCACACTACAGGGGTCGAGAGTCACACTACAGAGTTCGAGAGCCACACTACAGGGGTCGAGAGTCACACTCCTAGCGGTCAGAGTCACACTACAGGGGTCGAGAGCCACACTACAGAGGTCGAGACTCACACTGCAGTGGTCGAGAGTCACACTACAGGGGGTCGAGAGTCAGACTACAGGGTCGAGAGTCACACTACAGGGGGTCGAGAGCCACACTACAGAGGTCAGGAGACTCACACTGCAGAGGTCAGGGAGTCACACTACAGGGGTCGAGTCACAGAGTCAGCACACAGGGGGAGCAGGAGGTCCACACTACAGGAGGTCAGGGAGTCACGAGAACCGCACACTAGGTCGAGAGTCAGGGGAGAGTCACTACTGAGAGTCACACTATACAGGGTCAGAGTCACACTATAAGCAGGGGTCGAGGGAGTCACACTATACAGGGGTCGAGATTCACACTATCACAGGGGTCGA